CAATCTCCCGTTCCATCCTTCCCTCACTCGTGAACAAGACCCCAAGATACTTGAACTCCTCTACTTGAGGCAGGAATTCTCCACCAACCTGAAGGGAAAAAGCCACCCTTTTCCGACTGAGAACCATGGCCTCAGACTTGGAGGTGCTGACGAGATCCTGTGGTCCCCAAACCGGACTCCCTCTGGCCCCTGGCCGCGCCTAGAAATTCTGTCCATAAAGATAATGAACAGAACCGGTGACAAAGGGCAGCCCTGCCAGAGTCCAACATGCACTGGAAACAAGTCTGACTTACTGCTGGCAATGCAAACCAAGCTCCTGCTCCAGTCATACAGGGACTGGAAAGCCCTTAGCAAAGGGCACTGGACTCCCGGATCACCCACCACAGGGCAGTGCGAGGGACACGGTTCAATGCCTTCTCCAGATCCACGAAACACATGTGGACTGGTTGGGCAAACTTCCATGAACCCTCCACCACCCTGGAGAGGGTATAGAGCTGGTCCAGTGTTTCACAGCCAGGACAAAAATTGCATTATTCCTCCTGAATCCGAGGTTCGACTATCAGTTGAATTCTCCTGAGGCTGAGAAGTGTGATCCCCCTATAGTTGGAACACACCCTCCAGTCCCCCTTCTTGAAAAGAGGGACCACCACCCTGGTCTGCAAGTCCAGAAGCACTGTCCCCATCCGCCACGCAGTGTTGCAAAGGCGTGTCAGCCAAGATAGCCCCACAACCTCAAGACTTAAGGTACTCAGGGCGGATCTCATCCACCCCCGGTACCTTGCCACCGAGAAGCTTCTCAACTACCTCGGTGACTTCAGTTTGGGTAATGGCTCCGAGTGGCCGCATCGGCAATGGAGGTGCAGAACATGGTCCATTCAGACTTAATGTCTCCAGTCTCCCTCGGGATCTGGTCAAAGCTCTGCCGGAGGTGGGAGTTAAAAATCTCCCGGACAGGGAGTTCTGCCAAACGTTCACAGCAGACCCTCACAATATGTTTGGGTCTTTCCTCCCCCGCCATTGGATCCAAATCACCACCAGGTGGTGATCAGTTGACAGCTCTGCCCCTCTCTTCACCTGAGTGTCCAAGACATACAGCCCCAGTAGAACGACGGAGTCCCCAGTTGGAGCACTTTCCAGCACTCCTCCCAGGGACTCCAAGAAGGCCGGGTACTCTGCCCTGCCGTTCAGCCCATAGGCACAAATGACAGTGAGAGACCCTCTCGGTCACTGGGGTAAACTCCAACACACAGCGGCTAAGCTGGGGGGCTATAAGCAAACCCACATCATCCCGCCACCTCTCACTGTGGGCAACTCCAGAGTAGTGGAGAGTCCAGCGTCTCTCGAAGAGTATGGCTCCAGAGCCCAAGCTGTGCATGGAGGTGAGCCCAACTATCTCTAGCCGGTACCTCTCAACGTCCCGCACAAGCTTGGGCTCCTCCCTGCCTTCGACTGCTGCCCAATCCACTGTGCACCGGCCCCTTACGGATCCTCCTGCAGGTGGTGGGCCCACGGGAGGACGTCCCCACGTCGCTCGTTCGGGCTAAGCTCGGCCGGGCCTCGTGAGGGAAGGCCCGGCCACCAGGCGCTCATGTTCAAGCCCCAACCCCAGGCCTGGCTCCAGGGTGGGGCCCCAGCTGCGCTATGCCGGGCGACGTCATGGTTCTTGGTTGAATTCTACTCATAAAAGGCTTTTGAACCGCTTTTAGTCTGACCCGTCACCCAGGACCTGTTTGCCTTGGGAGACCCTACCGGGGGCATATAGCCCCCGATGACATAGCTCCTAGGATTACTCAGGTACTCAAACCCCTCCACCACAATAAGGTGGCGGTTCAACGAGACAGCCCTCCTCTGCATTCCTGTTAAATAAAGTCTGATCCCCAGTGTCTATGGTTTGTTATCCAACCAGCATCCCACAGAACGTCTTACTGATGGCAATCATACAGTGCTCAGCATAAATGAGTACACTCCTTTTGAAAGGTAAGATTTTAATCAATATCTCAATGAACACAAAAACAGTTTCTAAAATTTGGACAAAACTGAGTTGTTAACTCATTACATGAAAGTAAGATTAATAATATAACTTAGATTACAAAGTCTACAGTTTTACTCAAATGAGTTGCTGCAAAAATGAATACACCCCACAAGAAACAATGAGTTGTAAGGACAGCATCAAGTCTTCTAGGGATGGATTGAACAAGTTGGTGACATATTGCAACATCTAGCTTTTTCCATTCTTCAAGAACAACTTCTTTTAGAACCTGGATGGAGAGTGATGCTCAACTTGTCTCTTCAGAATTCCCCATAGGTGTTCGATTGGGTTCAAATCAGGAGACGTACTTGGCCGCTGAATCACTTTCACCTTGTTTTTCTTCAGAAATGCAACAGTGGCCTTAGATGTGTGTTTTGGATCATTGTCATGTTGGAAAAGTGCACAACACCAAAGGGCACAAAGTGATGGTAGCATCTTCTCTTTCAAAATAGAGCAGTACATCTCTGACTTCACGATACCATCAATGAAATGCAGCTCCCTGACACCAGCAGCACTCATGCAGCCCCACAGAAGGACACTGTCAACACCATGTTTCACTGTAGGCACCATGCATTTTTCTTTGTACTCCTCACCTTTGCAATGCCATAGAGTTTTGAAGTCATCAGTTCCAAAAACATTTATCTTGGTCTCATCACTCCAGCATACAGAGCCCCAGTAGTCTTCCTCTTTATTGGCATGGGCCTTGGCAAATTCTAGGTGAATTTTTTTGTGCATGGGCTTTAGGAGAGGCTTCCTTCGTTGACATGACTATGTCGTATTGTGTCACGGGAAACAATCGCCCCTGTTTGGCTTTCTACTTCTTTAGCTAACTGCTTGGTGATTTTCTTCAACCCTTCTCATCAGAAGACGCTCCTGTCGAGGTGTTAACGCCCATGGATGGCCTGGATGTTTCTGTGAGATGGTTGCAGTTCCATCTTTGTTAAATTTTTGTGCCACTTTTGCTACGGTATTCTGACTGATAAGTAAAGCTTTGCTGATCTTCTTGTAGACTTCACCCCTCTTGTGTAAAGAAATTATTTCCCTTCTCAGGCCTTGTGACATTTCTATGTGGTGCCATTGCTGAGAGCATGAAATGGGAAGGGGTTTTCTTTGTTAAGTAATACCCTTTTATAAACAACTGTCTGCTGGACACCTATTTAATGAATAATTAAACTCACCTGTAGTTGAATTCTTGTTCATAAGGATTTTGTTGTCTAAAATTTAGCTTTGCTCCTAAGACTTTCATTGGGGTGTACTCATTTTTGCAACATGTCTTGAATGAATTTGTTAGGGAAAATAGATTTTGTATGTGCACAATGACAAATCTTGGTTGCAATCACTGGCCGGCATTTGTGGGAGTATTTTGTAGCATAGTGTCCCATAGAAAATGTTGATTTTAAAAGGAAAGTTAAGGTTTTCTGATGAATTCGTTGCGGGAGTAGTCATTTGTGCTGAGCACTGTATGTACCAAAGAGCCCTAAAACACATGTTATTAGTTATTGTTTCAGTGTATTAGTTATTGTTTCACTGTGTTACCTTTCAATTCATATTCAGTTCATGTTTTCTTCATCAAAAAAACAGTATTGTTTATTAGGTGTAAAACTAAAACAATTGTAATGCAGAAAAACATCTAAACACCTTTAACTATAAGCAAGTTATCACTAAAAATATGAGACTCATCGTCCTTATGGTTTACATTTTTCATGAAAAGACAATTAACTCTTCCAACAGACGAGCTTCTCACTCCACCATGCTCGTGCTGTTTATAATTAGCATTGTAATTCAGTGAATGACCGGTCAATTAGTTTTTTGTTTAAAGCAGCTTTGACCAGCATGTTTATAATAGTGTTTTACATGTTAAACCTATTACACAATCTGCTCTTATCAAAGAGAACAGAGGATTATTACAGATACAACAGATAGCAAATGGCTAGTGAATAGAGTTGAGCAATTAAAAGCTAAATATATTTGTCAGTGTTAAAGAATCAATAAGCATGACAGAATCTACAAGTAAATTAAGAAAAACTAATTTTTCCACTTTTACATGTAACATATTCATGATTATAAATATTCTCACAGTTTTCTTAGCATAAATCATAAAATAAAAGCTAAATTGTTTTCTACTTGTAGATAGAAAGCTTTGTGATACTAAGACACATCACAACAACTGATCAAAGTAAATTATTTTTCAGTCATTTTAGAAACATGATGTGAACCTTCACTATATGCTTTCATTTTTCACCAAAACAAATGATTACAAAATAAACTTTCAGATACAAAGCAGGCTGTACTGAATACTCCATTATTTTGTCTCATGTCCTGGAGCAAAACATCTTTAATCACAAATAAACCCAAACGGTTCTGCTGATAACTGATTTAAACATTATGACACGTCTCTGTGAGGGGTTTGAATTTGCACAAACATTTATTTCTAATGACAGAACTCAGGCTGTGACTCTGTGTGGAACAAGGTCACCAATGTTTTTCAAATTTCATAGCAGATAAAATCATTAAAGAGCACAGACTACAAGTCATTTTGTTTTTGAATACAAGTAATAAAAATGCAGTTATAGGATGTCCTATTATTATAGGTTTAATTTTCTTTTCAAATTCCCTTTTAAAATATTTGCAATGTCAAATTTCTGTAGGCAATTTGATGGAAACTATCACAAAAACAACTAAGAAACTATGAACATTCACATGAAGCACATTATCAGTTGCTTTCTTTGTTCATTACATTCTCACTCAAAGTGTGATATTATTGTGTGGTCTAGCTTTTATTGTTTTTTGTACTTTTTCAAAACTATTTGAACTTCAGTAGTTATTATAAAACGACTGTTACTTCATTATTGGATACAAAAGCACTTTGCATACATTTGTCTTCTTTTTTAAAGTTCTAATATTAGTAATGCTTGTTTGACTTTAATGCAAATTATACAAAAGACTGAAAACATCAACACTTACATTAGTGTTAAATTCTTACTGCAATTTTGGACTGACTTCTGATTTTAAACAACTTTTTCACAGATTCTTTGATTTCTTTTGTCTGCAGAACATAAATGACTGGGTTCAATGATGGGGGAAAAGCAGAGGTCAAAGACAGATTTATCATCCTGGCATGTGGATGCATAACTCCTGTAAGAGTAGCAACTATTAATAATGGGAGGAAAAAGATTGCCACTAATGAAAGATGAGCTGTGCAGGTTTTAAAAGCCTTCACTCTCTCATGAACTGTAGCCACTTTAGTCAAAGTAAAGCCGATATATATGTAAGTAAACACGATGAAAACCAGTGGAAGCCAAAGAATAAGAACTGTTAACAAAGCGCTAAAGATGAAGCTGGGTGTTATATCATCACAAGCCAGTCGATATATTTGACCATAGTCACAGAAATAGCTGTTAATAACCACAGAATTACAGTAGGAATGTCTGGTAAGAAGGCAGACTAAAGTCAGTGTAACAGTAATGGAAAAGAACCAGAAAAAGCCAATTAAAAAAAACATGAACCTGTGGGTCACCTTCGCATGATAGTGCAGTGGGAAGATGATGGCTATCGTTCTGTCATAGGAGAGTGCAACCAGATTCAGAGGTTGCATGTAAAATAAGGTGTAATAGAAGAAAAGAAATGCCAGGCAGTCGTTGTAGGAGATGTAGGGATGGTCAAACAGGAAGATGTCAAGAACCTTTGGCAACAAAGCAGAGCTACCAAACAGGTCTGTAAATGCTAGATTAAAAACTGCAATATATTTTGGAGCTCTCAGTTTCTGATCCAAGCATATTATTACCATCACAACTGTGTTTCCCATCACTGAAACTATAAACAGTAAAAAGAGAAAGACATAATAATACTTGATATTTGGGATGCCAGAAAAACCACTTATTATAAAATATGCAGGACGAACAAAGGTGATGTTTTTGTCAAGATCTGAGTTGACAAAGTTCATTGTAAAACTTGTCTGACTTCTTGTTTGTCAGCCTCTTGCTTGTTTGCCTGCTGTTGTTCTGCTTACTGATGTGTTCTCTGTCTGCAGCACAGTGATAAACGTGGATAGATGTCCTCTTTGCTGTGTCTGTATCCTGTTGTCTTTGTGATGATGAAGCTGTGGCAAGCTTTAACTGTTCTGACAGGAGTGGCTAAAAAGAGGAGCAGCTCTCATCTGGGTTCATGACTAATAGTGTCAAAACCTGATCCTCTGTGGCTTTTCAACATATGCCACTTATATTTGCTCTAACATATGCTTGCTTTGCTCTTGTGGGCACACATTTTCCTTATTGAGGCTTTTACATTTTTACAGCTTCTGAAGTCTAAATTTTTTTAAACTTCAAATTGTGAATTATAATGTATATATTTACTTATAGACACCAACACGAAAAGCATGGAGCTGCTGCAACTATGTGCACCACCATCTGTCATATGCTACAGCCTATTGCCTATTTTGGGAAGGACAGTTGCATTCTGTTGATAATAGAAACTTGGCTTCATCCATACATTACAGACTCTGCTATTGAGATAGTAGACTACACTGTAGAGCGCCATAACAGGACAAGGGACTCTGGTAAGAGCAGAGGAGGGGGGCTTTGTGTGTACATCAATAACAACTGGTGTACCTATACGATGATGGTAGATAGTCACTGCTCCTCAGACCTGGAGTTTATGACAGTTAAATGCAGGCCCTTCTGAGAGAGTTCTCTGTGGTCATGTTAACGGCTGTGTATATACCACCAGATGCAAATGCTAATTCAGCTAATGGTCTTTTATATGGTACCATTATCAGTCAGCAGAGCATATATTCCATTCCAACTTTATTTATAAAGCACTAAAGACAACTAAAGTGCTGTACAGTGTAAATAACAATATACATTAAAAATAAACATAACTTATAGGTAAAGATAAAATCAACACCAATATAAAATATCAAAAAGCCAATGAGAATAAATGAGTTTTCAAAAGGGTCTTAAAAGCAGGCAAAGAAGAGGCTTGTCTGATGAGCAGCGGTATATCAGTCCATAATTTGGGAGCAGCAGCCGCAAAAGCACAATCACCTCTAAGCTTGTGCTTTGTTCTGGGCCCACTCAAAAGAAACTGATTAGCTGATCTCAAAGAATGTGTAGGTGTATACCAGTGAAGCAAGTCAGATAAATAAGAAGGTGCAAAGCAATGAAGGGATTTAAAAACAAATAATTACATTTTATAGTGGATCCTAAAATAAACAGGTAACCAGTGCAAAGAAGCCAAAACTGGAGAAATGTGCTCATATTTACTCATACCAGTTAAAAGGTGTGCTGCAGCATTTTGGACCATCTGGAGGCAAGTAATAGAATACTCGCTAATCCCCAGATACAATGCACTGCAGTAATCCAGTCGGGTGGTGATAAAAGGATAAGGATAATCACCTTTATTTAGCCAAGTATGTTACACACAAGGAATGTGTTTCCAGTACAGAACCGAGGCAGCCATGTGCAGCACCAACTCAACCACTGGCTCTAACCATCAGGGGCAACTTGGGGGTTCAGTGTCTTGCCCAAGGACACTGACACGTGGACTGCAGGCACTGAGATTCAAACCTCTGACCCTCCGGTTGGGAGATGACTGCTCTACGCACTGAACCACAGTCGCCCTCAACAGCATGAATAAGTCATGCCCCAAAAGCATGAATACCTGTCTCTAAGTGCCATCTAGAAACCACTGACTTTACTTTGGCCAACTGCCTTAGGTGAAAAAAACTAGATTTTATGACAGCGGCAACTTGGCAATCGAATTTTAGGTCAGGGTCCATCTTAACCCCCAGGTTTGAAATATTTTTCTTGTTATACTGGACTAAAAAGCCCAAATCAATGGAGAGAGTCCCAGCAGTATCACTGAGCACCATCACCTTCGTCTTCTCTTCATTCAGCTTCAAAAAATTAAGTGCAAGCCAAGATTTAATATCCTCAAAACATTTAAGCAGTGGCCTAACACAAGAATTTGTCTTTTTAAAGCTGGCTATCATATACGTAGCAATGAAAGGAGATGCCGTGTTTCCTAAGTATGAAGCCAAGTGGGAGGAGTTAAAAAGAGAAAAGAAAGGGTCCAAGAACTGAGCATTGTGGAACCCCATACAAAAGGGGCTCAGAGGAAGACAGCATCACCAAGTTTCACACAAAAGGTTCTGTCCTTAACTTATGACTGAAACCATTCTAAAGCTATACCTTGAATACCCACCCAGTGCTCTAATCGGGAAATAAGTACATATGCGATCTACCGTATCAAATGCTGCAGTCAAGTCAAGGAGCACTAGGACAACACAGCTCCCTGAGTCAGTGGCAAGAAAAATATCATTCAGGACTTTCACCAAAGCTGATTCAGCACTGTGCAGGGTTTCAAACCCTGGTTTAAAAATCTCAAGAATATTATGCTCTACCAAAAAAGCCAGTGACTGAGTGTAAACTATCCTCTCAAGAACTTTGGAAAGAAATATATTCCGATGCTGTGCACATTATAGCAGGAGACTATAATCGTGGACTTGAAGGCAGTGCTACCCAAATTCTATCAGCTTGTAAAATGCGCTACTAGGGGAGCTAACACACTGGACGGGGTTTACTCTAACATCAAGACAGGATACAGGGTTAGACCATTATTGCACTTGGGCCAGTCAGATCATGTGTCCCTGCTTTTAATCCCTGCATATGATTCCCTCAAGAAAACTGCTCCAATTACTACTAAGATTGTTAAAACTTGGCCTGATGGTGTCTCTCAGCAGCTGCAGGACTGTTTCGCCAGGACCAACTGGGATGTTTTTGAACATCAGGGCCTGGAGATGTTCACAGACAGTGTTCTGTGCTACATTAGATACTGCAAAGACACTGTGACAGTGGACAAGCGCATCCGGTTCTATCCAAATCATTAGCCCTGGATGACCAGGGAAGTCCAGCAGCTTCTGAAGGAAAGGAACATCGCTTTTAGGTCTGGTGGCAGGGCTCTTTACAGCATGACATGAACGAACCTGAAGAGAGGCATCAGAGTGGCCAAGCTGGACTATAGGAGGAGGACTGAGCACCATCTAGACAGTAATAACAGCAGACAGGTGTGGCGAGGAGTCCAGCATCTAACCAACTGTAGGACCAACCTCGGAGCTGTGGCAGGTGACGCCGTATTGGTGGAAGAGCTGAACATCTTCTTTGCCTGCTTTGAAGTGGAACAACCAGAGGCAGTCACACTGCAGCCTTCAGTCCAAAACAATACCACCCTTACAGTTGATGAGTGCAGGGTGAGGCGTATGTTACAGGCTGTTAACCCGAGGAAGGCTACTGGACCCAATGGCATCCCCGGACATGTGTTGAAGGACTGTGCGGTCCGGTTAGCTAGAGTCTTGACTAAGATCTTTAACTGGTCCTCGTCCCAATCCATCTGAAGTCTTCAACTGTAGTTCCCCTGCCCAAGAAATCACATTTTTCCAGCCTCAATGAATATTGACCAGTTGCACTCACTCAGGTGGTGATGAAATGCTTTGAAAAATTGGTCTGGGATTATTTTACATCATTCCGCCCCCAAGTTTTGATCCCCACCTGTTTGCATACAGAGCAAATAGATCTAGGGAGGATGACGTAGTCATGGCTCTCCATGCTGCTCTTTGCCACCTGGAGCAGCAGGGGAGCTATGTGCTGCTGCTCTTTGTAGATTATAGCTCGGTGTTTAACACTATTCTTCTTCACAAACTGGTGGATATCTGGGGGTTTTGGGACTTCCACATTCAGTTTGCACATATATATACAGCTTTCTATCAGGTCGTGAATTCTTCTGAAAATGGCTCAGCAGAGACTGCATTTTCTGAGTGTGCTCAGGAAGGATAATATAGAGAATAACTATATTTTTACATACAGAAAACAATGAGAAATAAATATAAGTGACTAATGAAATGGATAAATGAACAAATAACATTGCCTTTACCTTTATTGAAGACTCTTGTTGGCGTATGGAAGTCGGCGAGGAGGGGAGAGGGAGGAGGAGAGGTTATTGTTTGGAAGGGGAATCCCCCTCCATAAGGACTTAATGTATCAAGGCCCAATCTGGGGTTACTTCCCTTCACTTATTTCTTCCGGGAAATGATTGGCCGAGTCACGCGAGCAGGCGGACGAGTTTGGTATGGACTAATGACGCTGAACCGACCAATCAACTGTACGAAAACCGAGCGGATGTATGAAAGCTGGGACAAAATTTTGATGAAAAAAGTCGTCGAAAACCGAATCATACGAAAAGTACGGCATACGAAAACCAAGGTTCCACTGTATTTTGTTTCTCTATCCACTTTACCTTCATATTCCCACAATCTAGGAACCTGTAATATAACTCCTGTAAAGGCCTGTACTATAACTCTTATCCGTTTACATGAAATGTTCTGAAGAGTGGCATAGGGATTAGGTTTTAGGGTACGGGTTAGCTTTTTGTTGTAAGCAGGTCTATATTTATTTATTTTTATTCTCAGTTCCACCTTTTACATATTATATTTGCATTTTGGAACCCCTCACACTCTGGGAATACAAGGCTTGTATTGTATCTTTCTTTTTTGTGTACATGATGTTATGAAGAACGGCATAGCCACAAAGAACAATAACACCTGTGGCTACTACTTCTTTTTAATGTAAACAGTTATAGTATAGCATACAGTAGCATAGTATAGCATAGCATAGCATATAGCTTGACTGTATGAGAATGTTACCTTTATATGATCAAAGCTTTGAACTTGTTTTTACATTTTCAACACTGAGCATGTTTGTGTTTTTTACAGTAAAAACTATTTTGCAATCTGTATTTTTAGGGTTAAACATAGAGTATGTCTACATGTAAAAATAACTATCAGGTCATATAAGTGATGTTCAGAAAAATAAAAATGATACCAAACATTGGCATATTAAACATTGTTCATCACGGTATATAAATATTAAAACTAAATTAGTTAAAAAACAGTCACAATGGCCCAAGAT